ATACTGAAGCAATTAAAAATAAAATAGTTAACATAAATTGACTATATAGATGTATTTAAAAACAACAAACAAATAATGGGTAATTAAACATAAAATGAGATTGTTTTAGTTGCTAAAGTATTGTAAAATTAATTAATTAATTAATCTAAAAATACTGAAACACACAATAAAGAGAAACAGAACCAATAAAGACAAACACAAACTATTAATGAAAACTACAATAGTATCTCAAATATACAAAAAAAAAAAAAAAAAAAAAAACAGAATGGCATTTTGTTGAAAAAGTCGCTGCGACTTTTAATTGAAAATGCTCCTGTGAAGGCTAATTACTGTGAGACCTTATCAGCGTGTGCTCGTTAGGTCAAAATAATTAACTTGGGTGAGTCTTTTGTGCACAAGGTCCCTCGAACGTCCATCTCCTGATGTTCTAGCAGGAAAGAGAGCAAAGAAGTACATCGATTTCTCAAGAACAGGACGTGATGCCATGAATATGCAAAATAAGGGCAATTAAACACGTTTAAAAGATCCATTCACCCCAAAAATAATCATTTGTTCATCAACATGACTTCTGACCTGTACAGTTTTCTTACAAAAAAATGTACTTAATTTTATAGAAATACGTAAATTCATTGAAAAAGCTTATTCATAAATACTGTCAATCGAAAATAATATTAATTTAGGGGCTGATAATATTGACCTTAAAATGGTTAAAAAAATTTAAAACTGCTTTAATTCTAGCTGAAATAGGTAAAAAGTAGATAAGAAAAAAGTACTTCGAAATACTGAGAAAATGTCCTTGCTCCATTGAATGTCACTCGGAAAATATTTGAAAAAGAATATTTAGTTTAAAGGAGGGTCAATATTTTTGTCCTCAACTGTATACAGTTAAAATTATTCGCCCTCCTGTGAATTTTTTTAAATAATTCCAATATTTCCTAAATGATGTTTAACAAAGCAAGAAAATTTCCCACAGTATTTCCTATAATATTTTTTCTTCTGGAGAAAGTCTTATTTGTTTTATTTTGGCTAGAATAAAAGCAGTTTTTAATTTTTTAAAAACATTTTAAGATCAAAATTATTAGCCCCTTCCAGCTATATTTGTTTTCGATAGTTTACGGACAAACCATCGTTACACAATAACTTGCCTAATTAACCTAACCTGCCCTAGTTAACCTAATTAACCTAGTTAAGCCTTTAAATGTCACTTTAAGCTGTATAGAAGTGTCTTGAAATATGTCTAGTCAAATATTATTTACTGTCATCATGAGAAAGATAAAATAAATCAGTTATTAGAAATGAGTTAATAAAACTATTATGATTAGAAATGGAATATTAAAAACTATAATACAGCAGTCCAGATAATGAAGGTCTTGAAATGAGGGGCTTACCTAAAGTTTTGGCCACCTCTAAGTCTTGCTGCATGTATGCGGTGCTTTTCTCGGTGTTGCCCAATGACCAGTAAGCGCTGCTGAGGGCCGAGAAAACTGAGCCGCGCAGTTTGAGGCTGCAGGTGCCGATCTTCAGCGCCGCCTCCAGGACCACCACTGATGCCCCATGATGGGAGGCGGTCAGAAGCTCTTGACCAATCACAGATACCACCACAAACGGGCTCTTGTCCAGCTTCATCTTCTGCAGCTGCTGGTAGGTCGGCTCTAGTGATTCTGCAGGCAAATGAATGAAAGCAACATTAGGGATTAGTAGAATATTAATAGAATTTAAAATATTTTTAAAAATATAAAATTTAATTAAAAATATATATTAAAATCATATAAAATAATCTAAAATATATATAAAATAAAAATCTACAAAAAATATATAGATAATATAAAACAAAATAAAATATATAGAATAGAAAATATAAATTAAATTAAAAAAATATTACTTAAAAACCACACAAAACTAAACAAAACAAAAATTTTATTTGATTAAAAAAAATTAATAAAATTAAAATATTAAAAATAAATAATATAAAATAATAATAAATAATAATATAAAAAATAATTTAATTTAATTAATCAAATTAAAATAAAATAACATATATTAAATATAATAAACATAAAATATTATTTAAAATTAAAAAAAATCAACAAAACAAAAAAATATTAATTTTATTATTATTATTAAGCTATTATATATTATTAGGCTAAATAATAAAAAAATCTCAAATAAAATAAAAATTATACCAAACAAAGCAAAAAATAAAATGAAATTANAACAAAACAAACAAAATTAAAATAAAATAAAATTTGCTAAAATCTGACTNAAGTCTTTTTTGATACATTTGNNATGTTTTGGTTTGCTAATCAATCAGATCAAATTTGAATCAACCTTTGTTGCTAATTTAGAAATAGTTAGTCAACTTAAAGTACATATATGCCTAAAATAAAGAGACACTGTTGGTTAATTGACCACATCTTTTTTATTTTAGTAAATCTGAAAAAAAAAAAAAATACAAAAAAAAAAAATACAGTTGAAGTCAGAATTATTAGCCCCCTTTTGATTTTATTTATTTTTTTTTAAATATTTCCCAAATTATTTTTAACAGAGCAAGGAAATTTTCACAGTGTGTCTGATAATATTTTTTCTTCTGGAGAAAGTCTTATTTGTTTTATTTTGGCTAGAATAAAAGCAGTTATTCATTTTTTAAAAACCATTTTTGGGACAAAATTATTAGCCTCTTTAAGCTATTTTTTTTTCAATAGTCTACCATCGTTATACAATAACTTGTCTAATTAACCTAACCTGCCTAGTTCACCATATTAACCTAGTTAAGCCTTTAAATGTCACTTTAAGCTGTAAAGAACTGTCTTGAAAAATATCAAGTAAAATATTATTTACTGTCATCATGTCAAAGATAAAATAAATCAGTTACTAGAAATAAGTTTTTAAAACTATTATGCTTAGAAATGTGCTGAAACAATCTTCCCTCCATTAAACAGAAATTGGTGAAAAAATAAACAAGGTCGCAAATAATTCAGGGGGGCTAATACTTCTGACTTCAACTGTGTATATATATATATATATATATATATATATATATATATATATATATATATATATATATATATATATATATATATATATATATATATATATATACATATATATATAAAAAAAATATATTTTTATATTTATTTATTTATATATATGTTTTTTTTTT